ATATGTACAGCTTATTTATATAGAATTTAATTAATAACATATACTTATTTTGTATCTTAGGTTTGCGCATTACGTATTACTGAAAAGGCTAGAGGTCGCATCTTGAAAGCTGGTGGTGAAATAATTACTTTTGATCAGTTAGCTCTTCGTGCTCCTCTTGGAAAAAAAACAGTTTTGATGCAAGGTAGACGTAATGCACGCGAGGCTGTGAAACACTTTGGACTGGCACCAGGTGTTCCACACTCGCATACAAAACCCCTAGTACGTTCAAAGGGTAGAAAATTTGAAAGAGCCAGAGGCCGTAGGCGTAGTTGCGGCTATAAGAAGTAAACTCTTAATGTGTCATCAGTTATGTGGGCGCAAGATTTTATAATAAGTAAACATTCATATAAATGTTAACTTGTAGACTTTGATTCTCTATTGTGTTGAAAATTATCTTCAAAAACTGGAACAATTGAATTTTAACTCCAAACTAGATTGCTTTTTAATCTAATTTTTTTCAGTAATTCATCGAAATTGTGTCAAAGGTGTGATGATGGCTAATGCCGTTACACATTCTAATTTAAATAATTGTAATATAAAATAAATCATAAAATTAATTTTTTCAATTATTTTACTTAGTACACTGTCATAATTATTAGCATATTTAAGAAGTATAATAAAAGAAGCACACATCAAAGAAATCTCGAAACGTTTGATACGCTTGTGGGATAAATCGACAAACAAATTGATGTTTACTCTATTTTTCAAATATTTCATCATTTAGTAATTATAATGTGAAGTTACAGATAAATGTATTACTTAATTAATACAATAATTTCATACTTTAAATACTCGTCTTTCGTGAAATCATATTTTACTTAATTATTTCCTAAAACAACTAATTTAAGTATATAATAAAATTATTTTTAAATGCTTTTCTAAATATTATATGTTAATTATTTCGTGTAACATCTAAGTTTTTCGTGAATTTACTGAATTATACAAATTAATGGTAACACATACATATAAATCAATAGTGTATAAAATATACTATAGAGTGCGTAACTGAACTAATTATTTGATATTGTAAATTCAGTCCTTTCAATTAATTTGATTCGTAAAATTTTTAAATTTTGTAAATTGTACTTCTTAATATACGATTATGTTACCCACAAAATAAAATTTGTATTATTAAAGTTTACAGGTAGATCATAATTTTAAAAGTTCGTGTTAAGCGCCCTCTATATCGTACGTTTTTTCATTTTAGTTCAAGATACTCCTGAGCATGCTTTCTTTTCCGGATTGTTAAAATGGTGAGATGATGTGAAAATTTTCTATTCTTAAAATAATCAAACAAAATATCTCATTTGTGCAAAAATCGGAACAAAATATAATTCTTCTACAGACGCAAAATAAAAAAACTTAATTAAACGATAACTATTCTTCTTCCAGGGTATCGATATTAATCACAAACACGATAGAAAGGTTCGACGAACAGAACCGAAATCACAAGATGTTTACTTACGGCTTCTTGTAAAAGTAAGTCATTCTTTTTATTGGATTTTGTCGAGAAGAGTTTCACTTAATTCTTGTATTAAGATTCTAACCGAAGTTTTATATTTTTTATAAAACCTTTACACTGATTTTTTAGAAGTAAGGTTATGTTATCTGTAAGGTTATTGCGAATAGCACTCTGTGTTAGTCTTAGCAAATATAGACTAATTCAATTTTGTAAATTCGCTATAGAAATTAGTCAGCTTTCCTATTCTGTCTTTTCGTTTAAAAGAAAAGGCAATTATATTAGTTGACACATGCATACATTGTACATCATTATCTAGTGTATAAATGAAAATAATTGTTGATTATCAAGATCTTTTAAAGATATATTTTTTGTATTTTAGCTCTACCGATTCTTGGCACGTAGAACAAATTCAAAATTCAATCAAATCATTCTGAAACGTCTGTTTATGAGTAAGATTCATCGACCTCCAATTTCCTTAGCACGTGTTGTCAGGCTTATGAAAAAACCTGGGCGTGAAGATTGCATTGCAGTGATCGTCGGAACTGTTACAGATGATGCTCGAATTTTTAATATTCCGAAATTAACAGTAAGATTTGTACAATACCCGTAACTATTGACATTTACATATGTACAGCTTATTTATATAGAATTTAATTAATAACATATACTTATTTTGTATCTTAGGTTTGCGCATTACGTATTACTGAAAAGGCTAGAGGCCGCATCTTAAAAGCTGGTGGTGAAATAATTACTTTTGATCAGTTAGCTCTTCGTGCCCCTCTTGGGAAAAAAACAGTTTTGATGCAAGGTAGACGTAATGCACGCGAGGCTGTGAAACACTTTGGATTGGCACCAGGTGTTCCACACTCGCATACAAAACCCTTAGTACGTTCAAAGGGTAGGAAATTTGAAAGAGCCAGAGGCCGTAGGCGTAGTTGTGGTTATAAGAAATAAACTCTTAAAGGTATGCCATCATTTATTGTGCCATTGAACTCATGGAAAATAAATGCTGGTTTTACACGTTCTCATATTTTTTTTTATCTTTTCCCTTTCCACAATAATTTAATTAATATTTTCTATTGTCACTGCTTCATCTATTACTTCTTCTATCTTATCTTCATCATCAGACTGTATTTCTTCCAATGCACTAACGCTTGGAAAATATAATTTCGATTCTTCGTTTGCACTTTCATGATTATCACTAACATAAAATGGACCAATGCCAGCAAATGCTAAAAATGCTTCGCGTCCTACCTTTTTTACAGTACATATAAATACTTCATAACTGTAAAGAAAAATATGAAATCTTTTAGTTTTCATACTTTTTTTTAATATAGTCTTTACTATGTAATATTTAATCTTTGAAAATATACCCTGTTTTTTCTTCAGTATTAGACTCGAAATCTTCAATTGATTTTGCTATCAACTTAATATTTGAAAGTTTATCACACTCAAAAACTCCAAAATCTACGACTTCATCGTTGTACATTTCCAAAACCATTTTCAACTCGTTCTTCCTCGTACTGTCGTATTTGAAAATAATTATTGGTTCGTTTTTAGTCTTATCTTCATACTATAAAATTTTCCATAATGGTTAAATTAATTTCTTTGATATTAAAATATTTGAAATTGCATACTTACTTACTGGATATGTGGTATCTGTATATTTACTGAAAATCAAACGAAATACAGTTGCCTTGTTTTTAGCATTTGGTGGAGTCCAGACAATAGGAAATGGATCATTTTCCATTTCCGCTGATATTACAGCTGGTCGATGTCGACCACAATAGCTATTAAACAAATATTTTTTTTTATCAAAAACATTCAATATTACTTGTAAAATTTACTATTTCTGTCGAAATTCGAGATAAATAAATTACGGCAAGAAAGAGTTAAAATATAGTTGTTCCTTATTAAGAATGATTTTTGTATTACATCTCATCCGTGAAGCACTGATCTGTAGAAGGTAACACTGATTGTCCAAACAGTAAAGTAATCAAATGCTGATGAACGTCCATTTCATTTGTAGATTCATTTCTTCTTAAACGCATAAGCATACATTTACCGTCTAAAATCAATTGTCTTGCATGATCCGTGAGTACATAATCAGACTAAAAAGAAGAAATGATTTAATTGTGATTTGTGTTTACAAAAAAAATATAAAAGAAAATAAGTTCAATAATAGAACCTCGTGAAACATTTTATCAAGGATATCTTCGTTCAATCGTTTTCGTATTTCCTGTTCAATAATATAATTCCCTGACAAGATTTCTTCAACTAATTCCACGTACGGTGGGCAACATTTTTTATCTCTTTTATGGCCTTCTTCATCTTTAAATATCCATGGATATAATAAGAGACAAGTTTCATCAATTAACGAATTGGTTAAATGATTCATTTCTGCTTCGTATTTTGCTTTAGTTTCTGCTTCTATAAAAGATTCATTATAAGCGTAAATAAATATTAATAATAAAAAATTAATTTAATTTTAATAATGATACCAATGCTTTTGTAAATACCCTTTTGAGCTTTCTTTTCTGCTTCCTTAGTTATTCGAGCTTCTTCGGCTACGCGCATTCGTGTATTTTCTTCTGGACTACATTCGTTTACAGATATACAGAATCTATAATTTAAAGATAAATAAAAATAAGATATTAATATAAAAAACGTAATACAAACTTACTCCGGTTCATCTCCATTTTGAATTTTTTGAAATTCCGTGGTCAACATTTTGACCAATTGTGGACAATGCGCGCCGAACATTAAATTAATCATCATACCATCCTGTGAATATCAAAATAAATATTTAATATTTCATTTTCTTTAATGAAATTAAGTAGACGCATTTATTTACACGAATAAACATCCAAATAGGTTCGCTTTTTTCTTTAAAACGCTGCAGATCCGTTATATTATCGCACCTTGCCTGCAAAATTGTTCATTACTGTTTCAATCATTATTAAAAACTTAGTTGATAATAAAAATAGATAAAATTACCGTAGCATAACTTAACGCGTCCCCGCCAATTTCCATTTTAATTTTTTTTAAAGTGCTCACCATACCCGTACACGGTCCGCTCCATGCAGCATAGATATCAACCACTGTAAAAGAAAAAAAAAGATTAAATGAAGTAATAACAATAGTATAGTATTTTTTTTTTTATTCAAGTAATAGTACTTTCCTAACAAGCCCTTTTTAGTTAAGATTTGAGCCCATTCATCATCATTAGTAACATCAGTTTGAAGTGCAGTAGGTATTGTTTTCTTAGCCATTTTTTTAATACCCTTTCCGGCACCCTGTAAAATGAATAACATAACGCTATTAATTAAAATTAAGGAAATAATAGAAAGATAATAGTCAAAGTAAATTTATACCCTTTTACGGCGTAACATTTTTAAAAAAAGATATGAAAATAGTTATGCAAGATTTAACAATTTCTCTCTCTAGATTTTATTATAATTATTTTTTTTTTATTCAATAACAGTTGACTAAACTATAATGATTATTTATGAAGGATTTCTCGAGGAATACAGTCCTGTACGAAGCTACGAGCAAGAATAACTTAATCCTATTCAACAGAAAGTACAGGACAGAGAACTTTAATAGGTTTATTTATTAGCAATTTTACGATCATTATATCAGGGAACTTTAAGGGCTATTAGTATAATGTCATTATGGAGATGTCGGTGACAGTGAGGACACGCAAACTATTCCGAATAAATTATACTTTTGCCAGTCACAAATACTTGCGTGGCGTGCATATAATTACAGAGTGAAAGAAGAGTAACGATATTATTTTGTTTTTCTCTTTCAAAGTCACGTAAATAGATATTATATTTATTTTATTTATAAACAATCCAGAGTTAAAATACCAAGAGTAATTCCAATTATTACAGATAATTAATTTCAGTTTTTTTTTTTAGTTTAAACATTATTAATTTATAAATAAAGAAAAAGTTATTTTTATAAAATTGCAAATATGAATAATAGATTGATGACAGTGTAAGATAAAAATATTAGTTCTGATAAGAAATACTTGCCTATTAATAAAATAGAACATTAAACTGAATATTTTTGTTGTCTGTTATCCGACTAGTTGCCAAGAGTAACAGATTAAACAGATTACATGTTTAATAATGATGACTGTTCACCGATAACGTCATTGACGTTGCTATGCCTTCAATTTATTCCATATTTAATAAGGAATACGTAATTCGCATCTTTCCTTTATTAATATTAATGCCAATGACAAAGAATGTTTATATTGTCGATCAAATGAATAAAAACATAATGCATCATTTTTATATTCCTAATATATGTAAATTGAGAAAATTCATCCCATCGAAATCGACTCACTATTGAGAATGATTTATATTGCAATTAATTTAATATTTACAACATTTCAAATTTGTAACATTTCTGTTTAAACTAATGTTAAATTGTCGTTAAATTATAAAATACTATAAGCTGGTTTTGAATTTTCTGAATTTAAATTCTGGGTAATAATATAATATGGTATAATAAGTGTTACAATATCAAAAGGTTTATGATTAACTTAGGTTTAAGGTGTGTCGGCGTATGACAGGACATAACCCTTGTCACGTGACGCAGGTGACGTGAGAGTGGCAGTGGGGATTATGTTATTTTACATGAGAGGGATTTCTCTTGGCAACGTTGAATATAATGTAATGTTGAATATACAAACAAACCATCCAATTTTTCATCGCAGGAAGTCCAACATATCGACTAGGCAACGATTTTTCACACCAGGGAAGCCAACATCATAACTCATAACAAGAAAAAGTACGATTATGTTCTGAAATTCTAAGTTCTTATTTTACAATTATATTATCGATATAAGAATTTGTTTTTTTTTTTTTTTTTTTTTTTTTTTTAAATAAAAAATTGATCTTTACTGTATCTATACTTGCAAAACCAAATTATATAATTTTTATAATTATTTCTAAAATATCGAAAATTTGGACGCGGAAGATCGAGCTTCGAGATATCGATTTAAAATCGGCATCTCTAGTTTAAAGTGATTATATATTGTCATACATCGAAGAGATTTAACGAACACCGATTTTATATTTCTTCAATTTGCAACGATGATTTATTTCCATTTTGATCATTTAAAGATTAAGGAGATTTGAGGTGAAAAGTTACTAAATGATTTGTGAAAGGTTATTTCATTTCTTTTTCTCTCTTTTTCTTTTTTCTGCTTTTCTTTATATATATTTGTTTATTTGTGTATACAAATTTATTATTAAAAATGTCTTATTTTATTTCAATCGTTTCAAGTGCATTCATTTATACTTTTGTAATATTTGGAATAACTGTTGCTATTTATTTTTAATAATTTTCTTTAATAACAATATTATTAAGTTAATTTTATTTTGTATACATTATTAGGGAACATTATTACTTATAATATATGGCAGAAGATACAGAAATATATTGTGGCTTTTTGGATGCTAAATTGTCAGGAACAAGATGCTTAACACAAAAAGTGAGAAAAAGATCTTTAGCTCCATGGAAAGTTTGGAAAAGACATTGGTGTATGGTAAAAAAATTGGGACCAGGTTTAGAAATACAATTAGACTATGGTATAAGCAGTGGTGGGATTTCTCAAAATGAAAAGGAAAATTCTATTATAGTACCCTATGATGCTATTGTATATCGTACTCAATCTAAATCTAAACAGTTTGCATTTGGCATATTCTTAAATAAAGAAAGAAAACCATTATTGTATCTATCGGGTTGCTCTGAAACAGAGACACAACGTTGGATGTCAGATATTCGTCAATTATTAAAACCAAGAAGACATAGATTCATGGACCGGTCTTATAATATTTCTTTAATAGATAACGCACATTCCAGATTAGCTGGTTTAACTGGTAATTTAAATCATTATTCTTATTGAATTATTTATTTTATTTTAATTTTTATTTGGTATTATACTTACATTTATGTATAATATATTCTAAAAAGTTTCTAATTTTCTATAGGTTTATATGGAGATTTAGTAGCCAGTCAAATAGGAGTATTTATCAAAGATATTCATACTGGTGAAATAATACTGCATCTAGAATGGAAAGAAATGAAACAATTTCATTTAACTACAGTGGGTCGTCCAGAAGATGTTAAACGTATATGTGTAATTCATACCACTAAAGAGTTCCGTGCTGGAGTCGGGGAACTTCATGTATTTTGTTTAAAAGCTAGTAAATTGTTACAAGACTTAGTGACTCAGGGCCGTGGTCCAAGGCACAAACATATCGATCAGAGGCCTTTAAGTTTAAGCGAAGGTGATCTTAGAATATTAGGACATTGTGAAGAAAGTACAACAACTTTTCCAGCAATAAAGAGCAAAATTGCATTTAGTCTTATTAATGCAGGATTAGGATTACTTTTATCTTCTCGTTCAGGAAATGATGTTAAATCATTAAATGATATGACAAACAGTCATAACCTTGATAAAGTTGTGAATGGGAAGAAACCTATTCTCACCAGAGTTTTTGATAATATTTATCAACAAAAACCATCTAGTATTCCTGATATTGTATCTAGTATTAAAGATTTAGATGATACTTCATCGAATAGAAGAGTTTCCAATGTTTCTGTGGCTTCCGGAGTTTATGAAGAAATTATTGATAATACTAATTGTTCCAGAATTGTATCAGTAACTTCTAATTTTTATGAAGATCCAGAAGAACTTATTTTTAATTCTCATGGTCTTCAACTGCAACCGCCACCGCTACCACCTCGACAGCGGTGTGGATCTGCATCTACTAGGAATGGCAGGTTCGTTTTATTAAACAGTATTTTATTTCTAGAATATTTTCATTACATCAATTTAATTTTATATATTAATTTTTTGTAGTATTAGCGAAGATGGTTTAGATTCTGAAGGAGATACTAGATCAGTTACTCCAAATGACATCACACCACTTTCTGAATATAAAATAATGCAACCACAGCAAGCAATAATAGATAATTCTGAATACGTTCCAATGTCACCTAGACCAAAAGTCATCAATTCTTATCATCTTGAAGTACAACAATCTTCACAAGATGAAATTTACATGGTCATGCAGTAATAGCAATAAGCATATGTTACCATCAATTTTAAGCATGAATATATTAAATTTACTTGTCTATCAAGTCATTGCAAATACTTAATATGAGTGATAGAAATGTTTCACACGCGAATATGTTTTAAATAGTTCTTATAAATATATCTTTCATATATTAGCTTTCTAAAAATAGTTTGAACTTTGTATATCTCTTGTATACAATGCTTAATGGTATCGTATGAGATTTTATGTATTTTCTAATTGAAAGCAGGGTTATTATTGAAGTATAAATATTTTCATTTATATATTTGAAGGGCATAATAATATTCATTCAATATTATCTATATACATTTCTATTAGAAACTATTTATAATTAGTAGCATGGTAATTTAGATTAACAATTTATTTCATTATTATTTTGAAGATATGCCAATCTTTACTTATATTTAGGAAAAATAAAATTGTGATCTCTTTTTTTTATAAAACACTATATATAATAATGTTAAAAATTTATAACTTTTGGTAAATGAGTATCTGTCCAAAAGTAATATAAATCTTCCTAGATAATTATTCGTATAATGACTTTTATTATTTTTTATAAATATCTTTAAATTTTTATGATATTACAAATCATTAAATCAATTATTTAATAATCTTTGCTTAAGTCAAGCTTATATTCTATCTATGTTATGAATTCATTATAAATTCGTCACAGTTCCAAACAAGAGAATATCCATTTGAATCAAGGGAATAAGAAATTATTGAATTTATGATATACATCTTCATTAATAACCGTTAAAATTAATTGCTCCGATGTGATACTTGTAAAATAAAAAGAATTTGTGTTATCCATTTTTCCGTATTGGTTATATATATTATTGTTGCTAATTATAAATTTATATGTAATG